CTTTTCTGGCCAGGCCCATTGCGTTTGAATACTTGTTTTGGTCTATAGCAGGCCATTTTCGAGCAATTGAAAAGATTTTGAGCAATTCTACCCACATACCATCCATATTTTATCCATCTATTATTCTTAATTTAGCGTCCATATAACACATTCAATATCGATTTGCGATCAACGTGTTATCCATAAGTTATCCATGTTTTATCCATGTATAGTATCCATTCATTGTCCATTTATTATCCGTTTAATCATTGTTTATCCATTTGTTGTCAATTGTTTATTCATGTATTTGGCATTAATCATGCATTGGATTTAGCTATTTTCAATCTATCATCCATTAATTATCCATTTACTACCCATATATCACCACATATTGTCTTGTGCTCGTCCGTTTGTTATCGATGTACTAGCAATTTATTTTCCATGTATTTTCCATTCTGTCATCATTGTTTCATCCATATGCCATACATATATCGTCCAATATTTTTTTTATTGCTTCCATATATTATCAGTTTCCTTCCATAAAGTTTCACATTTCCGTCCAAATGTCCAAGTATTATCCATTGTTCAGCCATTATATCCAGCTATTATCCATTTGGCTTTATGCATTATCCATGTACCATCCATGCTTTATCCATATAAGAATACTATCCCTTTTTTACCAATTGTTCATCCATGTGCTATCCATCGGAAATCCCTCCTCCAAGATGTTTAAAGTTGAAAAAAGGCAATGCGAAATCCCTCCTCCAACAAAAGGCCAGCGTCTGGGACCAAAAGCAAGGGCAGCATTTTTCAGTATAGACTCAACATAAGGCCAGTATCTAGGACCAAAAGCAAAGTAGAAAGATAGGCCATACAAAATTCCTTGTCCAATCTGTTTGAAGTAGAAACAGGCAATACGAAATCCATTTATTTTTTTATAAATTGAGTATCCATTTATAATCCGTTCATTTCCTGAGTTTCCATTTATTTCCAGTTTACTCGCCAAATATTTTCCAAATTAAATCAAATATGTAGATATTATCAATTTAGTGTCCATGTATTTTCTTTATATTATCCATTTATCATCCACTCATTTTCCATGTGTTATCAACGTATTTTTTACAACTTATCCGTTTATTATCCATACAGCATCGGAAACGACGTACGGCATGGAAAACAACAAATGCAACAAGACTATGCGCAAAATCCTCCACAAATAAAATAAAGTGCGACGTTGATTATTGAACATGCGTGTATTATTGTAAAAATACATCTACATATATATATCTCTCTCTCAAATATATATATATACATTTGTGTATATATGTTCCTTTTGCCCATTGCATGCCTACGCAGAATCACACATGTGTGCCAACATGTGTCAAAAAACGAGCCTTCAAAACAAACCTTACAAAACCACAGTCTCCACTGAAACTTTGTTCCCTTAACTAAAGTTTGTTTCTTGCGCAAACAAACCTCAATTACTGAAAAACAAACCTCAATTAAGGAAACACATCGTAATTAAGGTTTGTAAACATAAATGCTAATTAGTTAGTGCCTTTTTCAAAGGATAGGTATGTGTGCACGTCCACACATATTGACTTTCAATTTCCAGGTCCACAACCGTATGCATGTATACACTCAAGTGTAAACAGGTATGCCAGTAGATATTCAACAATGTTCACGGTTAGATACTGTTGTAAAAGCACGCTTTTATTATATAAAAAAAAACATATCTATGTTCTGCTTGTATATTTCATTTCCTGCGTACACATGGTAGCGTTAAAAAAGCGTTTTTGTTTACACATGTATTTCTGCTTGCGTACATAAGACATATGTGTAAATATTTTTTGGTGCTGGCCAGTGTTGGCAATGTGACTATATGCTGGCGCAGCGATCAAACATCAAACTTTATACATTACCCAACGAATGAAAAATGTTATTCCCTTGAAAATAATCATTTTTTCTACTTTTGAAGTTGCTGACTTGTTCGTGTTCACATGTTAGGTGGCAGCCTCATGACAATTGACCCAAGTGACAAAGGCTATTCACAACGGCAACAATGACAACACCATATTTCATGTCAGTTCAAGCTTTGAACAAAAACCAATGAAAACACACAAACGCAATACCAAATTTCATTTCAAAGGTTCATTTTTTGGTTTTTGGGTTCAAAGTTGTTCAATGTCACGTTTTCAAACCTGTGAAACACGTTGATGTTATCACGATGCTAGCACGAGTCACTTTTGGCTCAAAATAGCTCAAAAAGTACTTTTTGAGATGCCCAAAAATCCCTACAAATTAATCTCCCCACAAGCTGGTCGCCATTCCGAAGTTTGTGACTGTGTTCATTCAGAAGCGACGTGCTGTATCGATAGTTTCACTGAAGACTGGCACCCCGATGCTACACACATACGACATTTAATCCAAAACGGGAACCGCATTCAGTACTACTACGTGCTACTTAAGCATTTCATCTATTTTGTTTGCAACGTGGAAACACCAGACCCAACTCTTTCAA